GGTATAAATAAAGAGATTTAAATTCTTTAAACTGGTGAAAACCCTTTGGCAAAGGTAAACACACACAGAGAAAATTCCTAACTATAGAGTCACCACGAGATGAATGAATGTGCACAAGTCCCAGCACTGACTTGATAACAGGAAATGAAGGGACAGAATAAAGGACAAGAGCTCTAAAGGGAAGATGGCCTTCGAAGAGCCGTTGTTATCAATAATGTGGAAGATGTGTGTGAGCTTTCAAGTCTGTAAAGTTATAGCTGTCAATGAACTTGAGAAAATGCCAAGGTAAGGAAGATAAAGGTAACAGGACGTTAAAGAGAAAAACTCAGCAGACATCATATTTTAAAGAGCTACAAAACCACCGCACCTGAACGCAGGGTTTACAAAGCAGGTGGCAGAAAAATGGTTATTAGACTAAGAGGGTCAAGTGTTGAAGATCAAAAGCCGGCATTTGAGAGAACTGTAGGATGCTTGAGTGTCTTCCACTTAGCAGCACTTAAAACAAAGATGGGGGCCTAGTCTAAAGACTAATGAAAAGCTAGTCAGGCTCCTCTGTTTTCACACCCCTCCCTTCTCGCCTCCAGCAGAGCACCTGCCACTCCTATTCCTTGCTAAGGGGTTGGGTTTCTCAACACTGAACCCTCAGGACTGTGAGAAAAACCAAGGAAAAATACAGTGGGGTCCTGGTGTGATGATTCAGGATAAAGCAATGGACCACAAGGTCTGCGGTTCAAACCCACCAGCTGCTCCTTGGAAATCCTATACAGGGTAGCTATGAGTCAGAACTGACTCAACAGCACTTAACAACAACAGTAGAGATTCTACTTTGGAAGCAGACAGTTTTGTATCTAGTAATCAAATTCATTCCTGAATCCTTGATGGGCACTTATTTATTTATCTGGTCTTTGGATTCTTTCATGAACTGGTTGTAATACCTGTTGGATTTTCTCTTTAATGAAAGAGTTAAATAAAATCGTTGGGATGGTTCCATTTTACATTCATTGAGAGTTATAATTTTATTTTATTTTTTTTAAAGCGTATCCTTTGACAGTATTTGACACAGAGCCCGGTATCAGATAAAAAAACAAAACAAGCCTGTTGTCACTTAATTGATTTTGACTCATTGCAACCCTATTGTTGTTGTTGTTGTTGATCTCTACCTGGACCTGGACCAAGAAGCAGTTGTTTGAACAGAGAATGGGAACACTGAATGTTTTAAAATTAAGAAAGGTGTGCGACAAGGTTGTGTTCTTTCACCATACTTATTCAACCTGTATGCTGAGCAAATAATACGAGAAGCTGGGTTCTATGAAGAAAAACGTGGATAGGACACAGTAAATGGCCCGAAAAGGTTTCCAAGGCTGTAAATCTTTACAAAAGCAGACTGCCACATTGTTCTCTGTCAAACAGTTGGTGGACTTGAACCAGTGACCTTTTGGTTAGCAGCCAAGCACTTTAGCTGTTGTGCCCCCTCAATAAATATTTGTTAAATGATTAAATGAATAAATGAATTTGAATAAGTGAATGTCTTTGCAGGGCCAAAATCAAGTACTTAGGTCTGGATCTTCACGAAGTAACAAGCGTGTAAAATATTTGTGTGTCACTTAGATGTTCCAAGGTTGAAATAAAAAATGGGAGACCTCCCCTAATCCTTTGTGGATTTGGAGAACCTGGTGTCTGAGGGTGGCCTGAGTGACCCCGCCCCCAGGGCTGTGTCAGAGAGCTCACCCAGGGTGCTGGATGTGGGATAAGAGATAGCGGACAATGATGCCATTGAGGGCATTTAACTCTTTCCCTTCACTGTCCACAAATCCAAGGACCTGCAGAGTTTCTCCTATGCTAGGTCTTTCCGATTCTGTCCAGACAGGAAACCATATGATGTTCTGGCATTCTCAGTTGGAGAACTGTCTATAGTTGAATGGTGTAAAAGACCAAAAATAATCTATGAGTCAGTTTCCATATATTTAAGTGTGTTGGAACATTACATCAGTGGTTTTACAAAAAATGAAACCATGCACGAGGTTCCTACAGATCATCTGGATTCTCAAGGTCCAATGTCATTTCCAATGAATGAGGAAGAGTTCCTGATAATATCATCCATAGACATACAGATACTTTTAAGTCACATTGAAAAGCCACACCTTTGCTCTTAATTATCCTCCTAGCGTAGTGGTTACGAATCGGGCTGCGAACCTAAAGGTCAGCGGTTCGAAACTACCAGCCGCTCCGCGGGAGAAAGATGAGGCTTTCTACTCCCGTAAGGATTTACACCCTCGGAAACCCTGTACAGGGTCGCTATGGGTCGGAACCGACTCGACGGCACTTAACAACAACAACCTTTATATAAACATAATGGTGGAGAGAGGAAAGGAAACTGAATTGCAGCTGTTCCTGGGAGCATCGTGGCTCCACAAAAGAAGCACTGGATTGTGAACCTCAAGGTCCATGGTTTGAGCCTTGGCTTTCTACTTCTGTGAAGACTTAAAAGCTTCAGAAATCCTATACAAGATTTCTATGAGTCGGAACCGACTCCACGGCACTTGACACAGAAGCAATAATGCTATTCCCAGAATTAATGTGGCAATTTTGAGAGTACAGCCAAGTGAAAGGTTAGAGGGTCAAATGCACTCAGAGGTACCTCGGAAGAAAAGTCACAGCCTTGGGAACCCTCTGTAGTACAGTTCTAGTCTGACACACATAGAGTTACATGGATGGACAGCTAAGAACAGCAAGCGAAAGGGTAAAGGAAAGGAAGCATTTGACCAAATTAGGAAGGATACTTTCAGAGCAAGAAATACAGTAAAACTTGCAAAAGCCAGAAGCTTGTAAAAGGCAGAAACTTGTCAGAGAAAGAAAACTAAAAGGAGCAATTAAAAAGTGGTAAGACTGCACCCTGCTAGACTTGTGAGACCTGGACAAACGAGGCAGTCCCACCAAGTTCTGACTCTCATAGGTCTTATTGCTTAAACCCACATATACATATAAGAGGCTGTTATCAGCAACATCTTACACATGGTCTACTTTAAAAAGGAAAAAAAGAAGAAGTTGGCTGAAGTTAAATGTTAAAAGGTAGAATTCCAATAACCACTAGAAGACTTGACCTCCATTACTGGTACATACAGTTAAAAGACTGTCGTTGTTGTATGATTAAGGAACAAATAGGAAGACACTAAAAATGATTGGGCAAGTCAAACTGAGCATGAGACAGATAAGTTTTCATATTTGTAACGTAAATATAACAGCTAGCATTTATTGAGTACCTATTATGTGCCAGCCACCTGCAAAATCGTTTGAACTGCAAGATCAGTGGTTCAAGTTCACCAGCTTCTCCTTGGAAACCCTATACAGGGTCGCTATGGGTCGGAATTGACTCACGGCACTTAACAACAATTACATGCCAGCCACTGAGTTAAGCGCTTTGCATACAGCAACTTCTTTTATTCTGGCAACAGCCTTCTTTCTATTCCAGTACCATTTTAACAGTTGAGGCAGGTAATTAAGTAACTCACTGAGGATCATAGACCTAGAATCCAGCATTCAGAATTCAGAATCCAGATCCAAAGATCAGGTTAATAGCCATTGTACAGTGTTCATTACTCCACAAATTCTGCACCAATTCAAGGGGAAGAATTCTCTGTCCATTGCCTGCTTTGATTTTGAAGATTCTAATTAGCGTAGTGGTTACTAATCGGGCTGTGAACCGCAAGGTCAGCAGTTCAAAACTATCAGCTGCTCCGCAGGAGAAAGATGAGGCTTTCTGCTCCTGTGAAGATTTACAGCATCAGAAACCCTGTTTAGGGTCGCTATGGGTCGGAACCGACTCCACGGCACTTAACAACAACAAATAGTACTCTGGACTCCTTCCGTGGCTGTGTGGGATAATGCGCTGGTCAACAAAGTCGGTTTGAACTGCAAGGTCGGCGGTTGGCGGTTCAAGCTCACCAGCCGCTCCTCGGAAACCCTATACAGGGTCGCTACGGTTCAGAACCGACTCAATGGCACGTAACAACAATAACTGGTACTCAGACGATCTGGTGCTGACAACATTCATGTCCAGGACCTAATTAGGTCTCAATACATCACTACCCTGTTTGCCAAAAATAGTCTGCGCTGATTCCGGCCACCTCCCACATAAACGTCCGGAGCTTCAGCATGACTTCCCCTTCGCAATGCCATACCACTTCTAACCCTACAAGGAAGGATGCGCTGAGGTTGCCTAATGCCGGCACACGCAAGAACGGAGTCAGCGGCGAGCTGGGCTGGGATAGAGAACCGCGTGCTGTCATCTCTGGGGAGTGAGATTTTCCCGTGAAGCAATCCTCCTCCCACGGTCGTGGGAAGCCCCGGCGCCGCAGGCTCCCTCGCTGCAGTGGAACCGCCGGGGCGGAGATCCTCTTCCAGCAGCAATCACCCGACCCTTCCGGTTAGACCAGGGCTCCACCCCCTGGGTTTGAAGCGCGCGCCGGAGCAGATCCGCAGGCGGCGTGAGAGGCGCGCCTCTGGCCGCACGCACGCGCAGAGGTGGACGGGTCCCGCCCCCGAGTCCCGGCCCCGCCCCAACCCCCTGCCTCTCAAAGATCCTAGCGCCGTCCATGGGCCCGGCTTCTCCGCAAACCAGTTTCCTCAGGCCGGGAACGGGGTTTCCCCTTCCTACACGTCGGCACCGCCCCTCCATAGGCCCCGTCCTCCTGCGCGCCTAGCGCGGTTGGCCAGCCAGGTGCCGGGGCAAACCCGTCTCGGCAGGGCTTCCGCTCTAAACTCTCAGGCCCCGCCCCACGCTCGGGCTCCGCCCCTCAGTGTGTCTGTAGCTCCCTGCCGGCGGGGCGCCTAAGCAAACCTGTCTCGGCGGGGCGGGGAGCTGAGCTTCCTCCTGCAAGCGCCGTGCATTCGCCTAATTTGCCCTTCCGCCCCTGCCCCTGCGACTCTGGGGCAAGTGACAGGGAGGGCGGAAAGTGAGCTGAAGCCGCGGCCGGGCCGTCCTGGCGTCGCCGGCGCGGGACATGTCGCTGTGGGGGGAGCCGCTGCAGGCCCCTCCGCCCTCCGCGTCCCAGCAGCTCCCTGTCGCGCCCCCGGGACTGCCGCTCCCCCCTTTGGCCAGCGCGACTCTCAACCGCCTGCAGGAGCCGCTGCTACGGAGGCTCAGCGAGAGCCTGGACCGGGCGCCGGAGGGCCGGGGCTGGAGGAGGCTAGCCGAGGTGGCGGGGAGTCGGGGGCGCCTGCGGCTCAGGTGAGGCGGCGCGGGTGGGGGCCGCGCTTGGAAGGGCGCACACTTTCGTGGGTGGGGCCAGCTGAGGTAGGCCTGGATGTGGGGGAGTCCTGGATTGGAAGTGTTTCACACCCTTTTCCTGCTCTCCTTCCCTTTTTCCTGACCCAGAGAGGTGCAGGACCTTCTAGCAGAGGATGATGTTAAGTGCTGTGGAGTTGTTCCAATTCTTAAAGGGTTTCCGAGGCTTCAAATCTTTATGGAAGCAGAAAGCCTCATCTGTCTCCCTCCAGATGGCTGATGGACTCGAACCACTGAACCTTGTGGTTCGCGTTTATATGTATGATGGGGCAGTTGTCCATTCCAGAGAGCTCTTAGAATACAGAAGGTATATTGATGCATACCTAGGAGTCAAAAAGAAAAAGGGGGGTGGTGGTGGAAGGAGTGGTACAAAAAAAAAAAGGTAGGGTAACAAAAGCGAAGGATGTGGAATTCAAGAATTCATGGGTTTTCCGTAGAAAGAAGATGGTGGGAAAGGCAGAAACGGAGCTCATGCCACGTTCCCCGATCAAGTTCCCACGTTTTCTTCACCATGAACTTTAAACTCTTTGTTGTTGTGAAGTAATGCGATTTACCTTGTTAGTGGGCTTGGAGCCACTGGACCAGGAGTTCTTAAAACTTTTGGGTTCAGGACTTTTTACTCTCATAAGAATCATGGAAATTCCCCAAGGGTGTTTGTTTATATTGATTATATATAACGTATAATCTGTATTGATACTTCCCATATTAGACGTGAAAACTAAGACATTTAAATATATAAATCATTAGCACTCTTAGCTGCTCCTCAGAAAGCCTATACAGGATCAATATAAGTCAGAACCAACTCGATGGAACTTAACAGCAATTGATAACCCCACAGGAGTCCAGTTGTGGCGATGTAGGATAGGCACGGTACTGCTAACTACAGGTCTGCTGTTCAAACCCACCAGCCACTCCTTGGAAACCCTATACCAGGTTGCTGTGAGTCCGATATGACTACATGGCACATAACAGCAACAAAGATTTACAATTTTAGACCTATACAGATTTGCTTAGATTCTAATCAACTTGATGGCACTTAACAGCAACAATGATGTATAATAATAATAATATTATTTGATCATTTATTATGCTCTTTGTTTATATCAAACAATGTACTGCTTACTCTCATTGCTTACTTTAATCCTTACAATAGAGAAACTTGAGGTTAAGGCAAAGAGTAATGATGTGTGATTACTTGTCTTGGTATGATGCTTAGGATCAGCACTGGACTACTAACTGCAGGGTCAGCAGTTCAAACCCACCAGCTGCTCTGTAGAAACCCTATATAGGGTCTCTGTGAGTTGGAACCAGTTTGACAGCACTTAGCAACTAAGATGATTTAGGATTATTTGTAGAGAATAGAAACCAGGAATGGTAAATTCGAAAAGTTGATCTCGGTGGGCTAATGTGCTGGATTGCAAAGTTGGTTTGAACCACAAGGGCAGTGGTTCAGGCTCACCAGCTGCTCCTCGGAAACACTATACAGAGTTACTATGAGTTGGAACTGACTGGACAGCCCTTAACAACAATAGGGAAAATATACCATTGAGTTTTTGGGCAAGTAAAGAAAATCCAAAATCATTATTTCAGGTTCATATATTTCCAAATGTCTGAGTTTGGAAGAATTTGGGAGCGTTTCACTGTTGGAATCAGAGAAGATCCATGGAGTGTGAGGACTAGAGCAAACAGAGAGAGTGAAACTGACATAAAAAGTTAATTTGGGAGAAGGATAGATGTGACAGCAGAAGGTGTTGATGGTACTTTTCTCTAGCATCCGACACACGGATTGTCCTGTGTGAGGCCAGCCCAAGTGGGTAACAGGTCTAGGAGGCAATAAATTGTTCCCATTGGGGTACATGAAAATCCCCAAAGGATGCCTGTTCAAGTTATCTTTTCTTCTCTCACTTTCCACTATTTTCCCTTGACTCTTTATATTTTCCTTCCACACACTGCTGTCGAGTCAATTCCAACTATTCCTCAAACTAAATGGAAATTTCTTTAACTTAAAAAAAAAGTACAAGAGAGTCCATTCAGAATCATCCATAAGGGATTAGGAAGAATAATTTTTAAAATATTTTTCAGAAAATTTTTGATACTATGTGGATCATAGGTAACTATGGATAACATTGTGAAGAACGGGTATTCCAGAACACTTCATTGGGCTCATGAGGAACCTTTCACACAGACCCAAAAGGCAAACAGAAAGAACTAGGGAACACTGAATGGTTTAAGAATAGGAAAGGTGTGAATCAGGATTGTATCCTTACACCATACTTAACCTATCTGTATGTTGATTAAATAATCTGAGAAACTGGATTAAGTGAAGAAGATGGTGGAATCAGGATTGGAGGAAGACCCATTTACAACCTATCATTTGCAGATGACACAACTTGGCTTGCTAGAAATGAAAAGGACTTGAAATACTGATAAAGATCAAAGACCACATATAGCCTCAGTATGGATTACACCTCAGTGTACAGAAAATTAAAATCCTCAAAATGGACCAGAGAAATAACTTGATAAATGGAGAAAATATTGAAGTTGTCAAAGACTTCCTTTTTATTGGATCCACAGTCAACACTCATGGAAGCAGCTGTCAAGAAATCAAATGGTATATTGCATTAGGCGATCTGCTGTAAAAAACTTCTTTAAAGTGTTAAAGAACAAAAATGTCTAAACACAACCTGACCCAAGCCATGGTATTTTCAGTCACCTCATATATCCGTGTTGGAAGAAGTGCAGCCAGAGTGCTCCTTGGAGACCAGGATGCCCAAACTTCATCTCTCATACTTTGGACATATTGTCAGGAGGGACCAGTCGCTGGAAAAGGATATCATGTTTGGTAGGGTGGAGGGTCAGAAAAAGAGGAAGACCCCCAAAGATGTGGATTGGCCAGGTGGCAGCATCAATGGACTCAAGCGTGGCAACGATAGTGAAATTGGCCCAGGATCGGGCAGTGTTTCATTCTGCTGTGCATAAGGTCGCTATAAGTTAGTACGAGCTCAGTGGCACCTAACAACAACAACAACATAGGTTTGTGAAGATTGGACAGTGACTAAGAAAGACTATAGAATCATCGATGCATTTGAGTTATGGTGTTGGCAAAGAATATTAAAAGTACTGTGGACTTCTAGAACAAACAAATCTGTCTTGGAAGAGTACAACCAGAATGCTCCTTAAAACAAGGGTGGCGAGACTTCATCTTACGTACTTTGGATGTGTTGTCAGAAAGGACTAATCCTTAGAGATTGATATCACGCTTAGTAAATGTAGAGTCAGCAAAGAAGAGGAAGACCCCACAATGAGATAGATTGACATGGGAGCAGTAACAGTGGACTCAACAATTGTGAGGATGTCACAAGACAAGACAGTTGCTTCCTCCTGTTGTGCATAGGGTTTGCCGCTATGGGTTGAAACTAACTTGATGGCACCATAACTACAACATAGTTTCACGTCGTGTGTGCCATCTGCTCTAAATACAGCCTAGTCCTAATTCAATACCAGACTGCTCTACCATTGAATACCCTTTCCTGTCAGTGTGGATAGGCAGGACACAGGTTCTTGGTGTCTTGCCCAACCTATGTAAATTGCACAGTAGCGTGACCATTCTGGGGACCTCTCGTGCTGTCTAAATTGCATTAAAGCATGGAGTTTAGAAATAAGGCTATGGAACATGGGCCAAGGATGAACAATCTGTCATTAATTACTTCTGCTGTATCAGAGAGACTCCGTTAACTGCAGAAATCCTGTCCTCAAGCAGCTTGTAACCTGCCATGGGAATGAGACCATGTAAACCCCAGAACAAATGCTCTCATATCTTCAGTCTCTGAATGTTGAAGCACCTTGGGCTCAGTCATTTATTGTTTCACCTCATCTCCCTGGTGTCAAACTTTAGTCTCATGGCTTTCCATATATGTAGCCTGATGACACACATTTTTATTCCCACCCAAGCCCTATCTCTCCCTGAACTTCCAAGTTCATGTTTGCAGATCCCCATTTGCCAGCACCTCTTGAATGGATGATGTTCAGTGTACTTCAGTTGATTCCCAATTCACAGCAACCCTGTGAGACAGAGTAGAACTGCTTCTTAGGGTTGCCAAGGCTGTAAGTCTTTATGAAAACAGACTAACTTCATCTTTCTTCTGTGCCATGGCTGAAGGTTCAAGCTGCCAAACTTTCGGGTAGCAACCCAACACCTAACCCACTGTATTAAGCACCAGGGATCCTAAATGACTGATTGAAAGCGTTTTCAACTGAGCGTGTCTGCCCCTAGAGGCACTGTGTCTGCCCCTAGAGGCACTATCTGGCTGTCTCTCTCTCAGGTTGTTTTCTGCATCTTGTTCCATAGCAACTGCATCCTTCCAGTTTAGGCCAAAACTTCAGAGTCTTCCCTGATGACTGTACACTACATCCATTTTATCAGTAAATCAATCCTGTCTGCTGCTGTACCTTCAGTATTTATCTAGAATATGTATCTATATGTTGTCAAGTGGCATCACCATGGTTTCAATTTATAGACACCAACACGTACAGGATTTCTGAGGCTGTAGATCTTCATTGGTATAAAATGACTTCTCTTTCTCCTGTGAGACTATGCATGAGGGGGCCTCAGAAAGTTCCTGGAAAAATGGAATGAAAAGATGGTGATGTTTTTCTACCAATGTTTTGAAGCCCTCCTGTATTGTGAAAACCAGTTGCTGCCAAGTGGACTCCAACTTATGGCGACCCCGAGGTGTGTCAGAGTAGAACTGTGCTCCATAAGGTTTTCAGTGGATGGATTTTTGGAAAGTAGATCACTAGACCTTTCTTCCAAGTCTCCTCTGGGTAAACCCACGTTTCCAATCTTTCTGTTACCAGTCAAAATGTTAACTGTTTGCACCACACTTGGACTCATATACATTATAAAATATGTTGTTATTAAGCGCTGTCCAGCCGGTTGTTGT